CCCAAAACAGACATCACAGTGAGTATCGGAGGGTATGTATAAGGCCACTGAAGGAGAGATAGCTATCCTTCTCCAGGTCACCTCTCCAAATGGGACTATCCCAGAGAAGGAGGACTGGAAAAGACAAAAAAAGCAGTATTATGAAGAGAAATCCCAGCAAATATGGTCAAATAATACATTTCTTCATGAAATAAAACCTGTTTGGTAAATATGCCATAAGGTGTCTCTTGCAGGATGATCCTTCCCCATTTTACTTCTAAATCTCTTCCCTGTAAATCACACTTTGGATCAAAATATCTTTACCATCAGATATTTCCTGAACAGGGAGAGAGATGACATTTGCAGCCACAAAGCCATGTTTCTTTATAGACAGTATGTCTTTACAACACTCAGCCTTGTTAGGCTAACCAGCGCTTTTTGCCATTGACCCATGTCCTTGCTAAGTCCAGGACAATTAATATTATCTAGGCTGGCACACAGGCTCTTCCCCTGTCAGGAGCTTTTCCATGCCTAGAACAAAGTATATGTCACCTTGCTCGCTGGGTTTTAGGGAGTCTATTCTTATAAAGTTTTCTTCTTAACTACTGAGCACCAGGGAAACAAATAAGGTTGATTGTAAATTGTATTTAACTAAAAGTCTGTATTGATTCACCTGCAACTGCATTTTTATTCCTGAAAGGCTCCTACCTTGATGCCAAGAAAGTTCACCGCTACCATCCCTGCCATGGGATACTACTCACCACTGCAAGGGCAGCTGACAACTGCCTGGCTTCCCAGAACACTCTCCGTCATCCCTCACCACCTGGAGCTGCTGCCCTTCCCAAAACCCTACTTGCTCTTCAATGTCCTCCCCCATTACAGCACAGCTCTACCCCACAAGTTGGAAAGGAGCAGTATCTGCGCCAGCTCTACATAGAAGAGGATATGGGGGAGTGGGGGACTTTGGGGGATGCTTTTCTCACCCATGACCATTTTGGGGGTGGATAGTTCCTCTCCTCGAACAAGCTTACCAGGATGATGGGTGGCCTGTGACGCAAGGTCAGCTTGCTGCAGAAGTGCCACCACGAGTCGCCACAGCCTAGCAAACGTGGGCATGAGCCACCATGGACCGGGAAGGAGCTCCCCGTCAACCTGAGGAACAGCACGCTCTGTAGAAAACCAACTGCTCAAATGAGAGCCTGCCTGTCCCTGGGGGGACGGTGCACCAAGTGGCCCTGCAAAAGGACTGGGGTTTTACTCAGCCCTGAGACAACACTGGATGACCCTGTTGCCCTGATGGCTAGGGGCAAGCAAGCTGCCTGCAATGAGGTGTGTGTAGCCCATGGTCCAGCCAAAAGGTCTTTCCTCTGCAGGTTTAGGTCGCTTTCCTCATACATTCTGGTCCTCATGCACTGGGAGGGCAAAGAACATCTATAGGTCAAAAATCAAACTTTCAAGATACATTTTTTTTTCCAAGTAGTCAATGAGGGAGGGGATGGGTTTGATTTCCTGTCTGTGTTTTTGACTTGAATAAAGGGGCACAAACACAACTGGAGCTTAAGTATGACAGTCTGAAAGGGGTAGCAGTGCTGAGCTCTGTATTTGGTACCATGAGCCTCTGGGGGCAAGAGAATTCTTCAGCTCGTTAATTAAAATGCTTATGAGGAAGCCTCTCATTTTTTGACCTGAATTAAGAAAGCTTGAAAACTCCATCAGAAACAATAACGAAAACAGACAGCCTAAGTGAGTTTAATCTGCTAGACATAATAGGTTGGTATGACCCCACAGTTTGGTTTAATTGTAGATCGATAATGAGATCAGCCTGCCCACTTACAAAATGTCTGTATGCCTTATTATTTACATAATATTCATCTCCTTCCAACATATGGCACCTTTTTCCCCCTGCTTATTCAGGGTCCAATCCTGTCTCCACTGATGTTTCCATTTTCACGGAAGCACTGTTGGAAAACACTGTTTAAAGGGTTGCACCATCTTCTGTCTTGCAGCCACGGCACATACTGCACACTGAGAGGGGAAGCTACTCAGTAAAGCCATTAAAATGTAGTCTCCCACCCAGGCATATCAACTGTAAGGGTGGCCATTCGTGATACAGTCTAAAAGCAAAGCAAATCATGACCCAAAGGCTTGGTGGGGATGCTGTCCTGTGCACATGGGAGTGCAGGTAGGTTAATGACTCTGAATACGTTGCTTACTTAAGAAATCCCTCTGTCCAGACTGTAGCTGCCAGGCCTTCAGCCTTCTTCTAGCCACTAACTGTTAGTTACGCAGTGGATCACAGTGAGTCAACAGCTTTCTTCTTGTCTGGCTGGTACTGGCTTTCCATGTACCTCAGGCTTGGGAAACCTGAAAGCTAGGGAATAGCTGATTGTTACAGGGAAAAAGATAAATACTGCCCTACATGGGTCTCATTTCTCCAGGCCACAATTATCCAGCAAAAGTCAGATATACTGTGTCCTTCCTCCTACAGGTCTTACACAAGACTTTTGTCACACACCTACTTGGGTCTTTATATCCTCTTCATCCCTGGCATCTTATCTGTCATCTGAAGGACAGTCCAGTCAGATACAGGACTAAACTTCAGCTCCAACAAAGGGGTTTAAGCACCTAACTGATTAAAATCAACAGGAATTAGCTATGGTGTTCACCTCATGCAACTTTAGGTGATGGCATTGCAGCCACACACACATGAATTAAGCGCCCTGGGCTCACTTTAAAGAAGAAAAAGAGATCACACTAAGGTTTCTAGGTTAGGTGAAGTCCACACATTAATGCAGTTCCCAGGGTGTGAATTGTCCCTATGCAATGATTTGCTTGAATATAGACACCAGCATTGCAATCACTTAAGCTAAGGTAGCATCCCTCTTTGCACAAGTATACCAGGGCTGCAAGCCAGACACCTGTATTGGGACACCTTATACTGGGGGAATAGTTGTGTAGCATAGAGGAGGTTCTGGGATGATCACAACATAACAAATTTTCTTGGTAAGGATATGGAGTGTTTGAATTTTCTAAGTCTTTTAAAAGAAACCAAGCAGCCTTCCAGGGTTATTGTTTACTTTCTGTCCACTCCATAGGTCTGCCTGATAACCCCACGGCCAGGGTTCCTACACATCATGATACCTGCCCAGAATCTGGAAGCTCTGCTTCATGCCTCTGAGGTGCTCTAGAAGCCCTGTTTTGGAGTAGACAGGTGAGAAGCAGAGCTGCTGAGCAAACTTCAACTTCATCTTGAAAAATCAAAGCCTTAGAATTTGTTTTTTGCTAGCAGTTGAATACTTGGAAGGGTTTTTTTTTTTTTTATGTAGAACAGTTTTTCTTGGGCTTTCTTGGTTATTTATGAAGTTTCCTACTGAACAGCTAATATAGTGTTTGGGTTATGTGTAGCATCTCCATCCATATGCAGCTGGTCAAATCCCAGAGAGACAATACTATTACTTTGGTTTTGATCAATTTCATAATTTTATTCTGAGATGCAGCCAGAACAAATTAGCGTGGAGTGGAGCAGTTTCTAGCAATGGCATCTTAGAATCATAGAATGGTTTGGGTTGGAAGGGACCTTAAAGATCATCTAGTTCCAACTCCCCTGCCATGGGCAGGAACACCTTCCACTACACCAGGTTTCTCAAAGCCCCATCCAAACTGGTCTTGAATGCTTCCAGGGATAGGACATCCAGAACTTCTCCGGGAAATGTGTTCCAGTGCCTTACCGCCCTCATAGTGAAGAATTTCTTCCTTATATCTAATCTAAATCTACCCTCTTTCAGTTTAAAGCCATTACCCCTTATCCTATCACTACAGGCCCTTGTAAAAAGTCCTTCTCCATCTTTCTTGTAGGCCCCCTTCAGGCTGCTGTAAGGTCTCCCCAGAGCCTTCTCCAGGCTGAACAACCCCAACTCTCTCAGCCTGTCTTCACAGGAGAGGCGCTCCAGCCCTCTGATCATTTTCGTGGCCCTCCTCTGGACTCCCTCCTACATTTCCATGTCCTTCTTATGTTGGGGGCCCCAGAGCTGAACACAGTACTCCAGGTGGGGTCTCACGAGACTGGAGTAGAGTGGGAGAATCACCTCCCTTGACCTGCTGGTCATGCTTATTTTGATGCAGCCCAAGGTATGGTTGGCTTTCTGGGATGCAAGTGCACATTGCCAGGTTATGTTGAGCTTCTCATCAACCCACACCCCCAAGTCCTTCTCCTCAGGGCTGCTCTCAATCCATTCTCCACCCAGCCTGTATTTGTGCTTTGGATTGCCCCAACCCATGTGCAAGGCCTTGCACTTGGCCTTGTTGAACTTCATGAGGTTCACACAGGCCCACCACAGGCCCTCTGGATGGCATCCCTTCCCTCCAGTGTGTCGACCACACCACACAGCTAGGTATCGTCAGCAAACTTTCTGGCGGTGCACTCAATCCCACTGTCCATGTCACCAACAAAGATGTTAAACAGTGCCAGTGCCATTACTCACCCTTGAGGAATGCCACTCATCACTGGTCTCCACTTGGACATCAAGCTGTTGACCACTACTCTTTGAGTGCGACCATCCAGCCAATTCCTTATCCACCAAGTGGTCCATCTGTCAAATTCATGTCTCTCCAACTTAGAGACAAGGATGTTGTGCAGGACAGTGTCAAATGCTTTACACAAGTCCAGACAGATGACATCAGTTGCTTTTCCCTTATCCACCAGCACTGTAACCCCATCATAGAAGGCCACCAAATTTGTCAGGCATGACTTGCCCTTTAGTGAAGCCATGTTGGCTGTCACCAATCATCTCCTTGTTTTCCATGTGCCTTAGCAGAGTTTCCAGGAGGATCTGCTCCATGATCTTGCCAGGCATAGAGGTGAGACTCACTGGCTTGTAGTTCCCCAGGTCTTCTTTTTTTCCCTTTTTAAAAATGGGGGTTATGTTTCTCCTTTTCTAGTCAGTGGGAACTTCACTGGACTGCCAAGACTTCTCAAATATGATGGAAAGTGGTTTAGCAACTTCATCTGCCAGTTCCCTCAGGACCTGCAGATGCATCTCATCAAGTCCCATGGACCTGTGCACCTTCATGTTCCTTAGATGGTCTCAAACCTGATCTTCTACAGTGGGTGGTTCTTCATTCTCCCAGTCCCTGCCTTTTCCTTCTGAGACTTGGGTGGTGTGGCTTGAGCACTTGCCGATGAAGACTAAGGCAAAAAAAGTCATTGAGTACCTCAGCCTTCTCCATATCCTGAGTAATCAGGTCTCCCATTTCCTTCCACGTTTTCCCTAGTCTTCCATCTATCACCAACATACCTACAGAAGCTTTTCTTGTTGCCCTTGACATCCCTGGATAGATTTAATTCCATCAGGGCTTTAGCTTTCCTAACCAGATCCCTGGCTGCTCAGCAAATTTCTCTGTATTCCTCCCAGGCTACCCATCCTTGCTTCCACCCTCTGTAGGCTTCCTTTTTGTGTTTGTGTTTGTCCAGGAGCTCCTTGCTCATCCATGCAGGCCCCCTGGCATTTTTGCCTGACTTCATCTTTGTTGGGATGCATCACTCCTGAGCTTGGAGGAGGTGATCCTTGAATATTAACCAGCTTGGCTCCTCTTCCCTCTAGGGCTTTATCCCATGGTAGTCTACCAAGCTCATCCCTGAAGGGACAAAAGTCTGCTCTCCAGGGTAATGAGCTTGCTGTGTGCCCTCCTCGGTGCCCTAAAGATCTCGAACTCCACCATTTCATGGTCACTGCAGCCAAGGCTGTCCTTGAGCTTCACATTCCCCCCCAGCCTCTCCTTGTTGGTGAGAACAAGGTCCAGCATAGCACCTCTCCTTGTTGGCTCCTCTGTCACTTGGAGAAGGAAGTTATGATCAAAGCATTCCAGGAACCTCTCAGATTGCTTATGCCCTGCTGTGTCTCTCCAAGAGGTATTAGGGGAGTTGTTAAACCCCAACAC